CCCTCAACACTATCACTTTGTATTATTCAATCCTCAGAGTGCTGGAAATTACGCTTCTGAGAATTTGTTTTTCAATTTTTGTGAACGGAAGCATGTTCCGAGACGGACCTCCTAAATTACAGGAGACCTTACATTCCCCTCACTACTGCCCTTGTCAAATAGCCAGGCTAATCATGTATTTATTTGATTAATAAATTATTAACATCCCTGAGGTCTATCATGTAAAATCACATGTAATTGGAAATAAATAACAGTCTTTACAATATGTAACATGCCATCATTAAAATTTTGGAAAGAAATACAACAAATGAAGTGGACAAATTATAATTTCAATAACCTTGTCCAAACAACAATATTAAAAAAAGAAAAGAGAAAACTAGGAGTAAATTGAAGTATGTTTGATTCCCGGGCGCAAACTCAATAACGCTGAATTAACTGAACAAAGATTACCATAATAAGTTTACTCTCAATATTTGGTGTTCAATCGGAGATATCATGTCATACCATTTTTATTCTTATTAAAAGATGGTTATTACAAAAAATCGTAAACTTTAAATTTGCAATTTTCGAAAGCCAAGTGAAGAAAATATTCAAACTATGAGTTGTGTATTCATGTAACTTTTGTCCACAGAATTCTTATCATTTTATTCGTTATCACAAAATAAAAATTCGCAAATTTGGTAAACTTCCCGTCTGTGCTTAATCATAAACGAAGGGAGTTGGATTGACTGCAGAACTAACTCGTGCGGCTAAGGTAAAAGTTGGAAATATTTGGATAGACCTCGTTAACTCGAGGAGCTAGGAGATCAGATAACGGCTGTGTTCTCAGGTTACTAGAATAAATTTGTTCATGGTAGTGAAACTTGGACTAAGGTGCTCAGGACGGAAAGTCAATCTTACACCCATTCAGGTATCATGAAGTGCTGTGCGTAAGAAGTTATCCATATTAAACAAACTGTAAGAGTACATCATTCGATGCCAACTTCTTTATCACAATTAAAATCACCATAGCACTTAGTTTGTTGTCTTTTTTAGTAAAGTCTTCTTAAGACTTAGCCCAAGCCATACCTAGATTTATCTCTTAAAAGCCTTATTCTAATCTGCTGACGAGCGTCCCCATCACATTCATAGGCGAGTCGTCCCACCCGAGCAGGGTGGATCCATTGTTAATTAACGAGAGTATTTTTAAGAACCAATTAAAGTTTAATGTATGTACCGAGAAATTTCCGCAACATTAGGGGTCATTTGTCCTCTTATCACTTGTACATCATTTTACTACTGTAAATCCTCTATAAAGCCCTCTCTCTCAAATCATAAGCCCCCCTCCATTCAAGGGAACAAAGTTAATGGATCCCCCCGTCTCTTTCAAGCCTCCCTTCCCCTCCCCCTTTTTATTCTTTACTAATGAATGATATACTGTATTAATCAATCACGACTTTTAAACTTCATTTGCACTGTTATCCTGAATGATTTATTCACGTGTTAGAAGTTTGGATTTTATTTTTGATCCACGGCTTAAATGACCTCCAATTTCTTGTACTTGGGCTTATCCACTTTGCATTCTAGTTTATGGAGAACTGATAAAACCATCTTTGCTAAATCAAATAAGCCCCACCCCCCTAAATAAGGCCCCCGCTCTTTTAGGCTCCCCCTCAAACGTGTTTGAAATAGATAACCACCCTTGGGGAAGGGGGGGGGGTAGGAAACTATGCAACCGGAATGTTTGCAAGGAACAAAAAGATGCATTCGGCGAGATTTGTCACTAAATCGACAAATTATTATTTTTTTAATTGAACCAATCACAGGTTGGCTTCTAAGACCAATATTTCGTCTTATACTTACTGGTTATATTTATTCTAGATACATGTACGATGGAATAGAACACTTTTACTATGGTTAGAGTTATGAGACCTTATACGAACTATGTACTGCATTTAGGTTCAAGGATATCAAAACATTTACAAACAAAAGTGCCAAAAGTACGCTCGAACTTATCCATTTAATCAAAACGTAATTGTTTAGTCGGTTCGATTTATATTCTAATAGACGACATGCAAACAGAGGAACCTCTCCTTTGGAACACCTTTATTCAAGGGACAGCTCCGTTCAGGGGGCACAAAATTTGGTCCTCTATTGAAGAGACACCTCTATTCAGGGGAGAGGTGACACTTTTTCTTGGTTCCGAATCCCGGGTTTAACCTTCATTCAGGGGACACCTTAGCACTCAAAAAGTGACTGACCACAAAAATCATTGATATGTTAAGGTGCACACGAGTCACAATGGGGACTGCTTTCAAAACATGCATGAACTATCTCACTTAAATTGATGTACTACAGTTGATTCAACACTACATATATAGCAGAGTCAAGTTAATCATGATTTAGCTGCTTGAAATAATGACTGGAGCAGATTCTGACGCAGAATAAAAGAAACATGTTTTCATTGTTCGTTTATATTTACCCGAGCCTACCCTCCGTTCAGGGCACATTTTTAATCAAGGGACACTTGCCTTGGTCCCGAGGGTGTCCCCTGAACTGAGGTTCCAGTGTATGCCGGCCCTTAGAAAAAGAAAAAGGAGGCCACTGTATTTTGTTAGGTGGTGATTAAGTCAGTTCTTAGTTAATAAACTATGCTATCCTTGAGGTCCCCCGGCGATCCTGTCTTGTCTATAATGATCTAGTTTATTCGAGACTGTAATGGAGTCTCGTAATCTGGACTCTCCAAAGGAGAAGCGAAAAATTGACGTCAGTGCACATTCTCTTTCCTTTGTCATGTTAGATGACAGCACAGGAAGGTTGACGCGTTACACTACCATAAAATTCCGAAAATAAGCCCCTCCATTTACAAGCCCCTCCAAATGTAAGCCCCCTAATCCGGTAACGCAAAAAAACCCTCCGTTAAATCACCCCTCCAAATGTATGCTCCCCGGGGGCTTGTACTTGGAAAATTGCCCGGAAATACAAAGTAAAACAAAGCAATAACGGTAAATTTACTTCCAGCTATACAGCTAGCCCAATCCATTTTGAAACGCAAATTTCCCTCCGTAGATAAGCCCCTCCGAATATAAGCCCCTCCAAAAATAAGTCCCTCAAAAACGGCCTTTGAAAAATATAAGCGCTGGGGTTTATTTTCGGAATTTTACGGTATATAAGGGTAAGGGACGGACATATAAGGGTATCGACGGAGGTTATATTGATAGAACTGTGCTAAAATCTTATAAGGGACACATAGCTGGTTCGACATTGTAGGACACTTCTCAAAATATCGCCCCATGTGAGCCAATCTGGATTTCGGAATCCGGGAAGTTTTTACTCCTAAAATCTGGAATCCCGGGCTTTGGAATCCGGAATACAGCCGAAGGAATCCGGAATCCTACTAACGATTGGAATCCGAATCCAAGATTCACTGACAAAGGCCTGAATCCAGTCCCTGGAATCCGTATATCGAAAGTGTGAAATCCACAATTCAAGAGTGTCATAGATTCCCTTACATTGGGCGAAAAATATCAAGGATCCAAAATGTCCAAGTAAAATCGCAGCGATACACTTGGGGAGTCAATGGAGACGCAAGTTCAAGATATCATTTCGAAAAATATCCCCGTGGCTTACAGCTTACAGAGAACATTTTGACGAGATTTTAGTTATAACAAGGACTTTTGCGATTCAAAATCGGCTGGAGTCCTACATGGAGGATCTCAGGAAAATCAGGCAATCAACTATACATTCTCCACATCGTAATCCCTCGGAACATGATAACGTTAAACACATCAGCAAAAAACGTTGTTGACAATAGAGTGCCATAAGTATATATAAGCCTGAACTTAAAGCTCCCCGGTCAATTGTTTCATGCGGAGATCGGTTGTACTGAAGGCAAGAGTTATTTTTCAAATCACATGCTTCAGTCACTGCATGTTCTACTGACGAAAGTACAGTTACCATAAAGTTACCAAGAAAAAATGCTCCAATTGATCAATGATAGATAATTGAAATTTCTATCGCTGCTTTCCCCTTCTCTTTGTAGGCCATCCTTCTTATTCTTCGGTAGAACTGGTCATTTCTCATAACAAATCACAGAAAAACAAGCAAGAAAGGTTACCTGAAAAATAGTAAATTTTGCGGGAACGCGTGAGTTCGCGACTAAGGAATTCCCCCATTCTTCTTGCCGCTTTATAGCCAAATTCATTTCAGGGTGCTTTTGTGGTCCTTGTTAGCAGTCGTGCGCAACAAACTTCGTCAGCTAAGCAGACTACTAGTATGATTAAAATCAATGTGAATCAATCAAGTGAAGCCAGTTGTTTTCAGATGATATCAGGGGGATTTTTCATTGGGAAGCACTTGACCCAGGAGACTTTGCCTTGTCAAATTCCCCCACCCCTAGGGGGAATTGTTAACTTTGCACAGCCCATTTTAGAATCCCGCTTGTTGGCCAGGAGTCCTACCCCATGCCCCTCAGGTGAAAGCCGATGACATGCGCATTACAGTTATATAATCAACATGCATGTATGAGTTACAGAAAACAATTACCAGTTGCATTACCTGGTCACGGCTGTGCCACTCGAAAACCGCACGATTCCGAAAAAATCTTAAATCTTCAAAAGACAATTATTCAGCGACCTATTTACTAAAACATAAAAGCAAGTCTTTTTCAAAAAGGACAAATAGCCAACAATCTTACGCTAAGATATTAACTACAAATACTGATACCTAACTAAGTTATTAAATTGTACTCTTCTTACAACCACCTAGTTAGTACTTTGTTTTAACTGCAATTACCTTTTTGTCTGGATGTAAATTGTATTCTCCACTATTCATACCTCACTGTTATGTAATTAAGTATTCTTTCATACAAATACGCGACTACATTGACACTCAAATAAAAAGTGCATTTTTATACAATTCAGCAATCAGGCCAGTAATTGAAAATTACGAGCCCGAATAACAGCAGGAAGTTCCTACAAACTGCGAATTTTCAATCATATTGGATACCGTTTACTTTACAATTAAGAAATTAGCTCGAATTCCTTCAGTTCATCGATTATCTCCTGCATGGTTGGTCTCGCCCCAAGCTCTCTTTGAATGCATCGCTGCAAAAGGCCACGAAACACACCGTTCGTTACAAGCACCACTTGTTCGTTACGATTTTGAGGATCTGGAAGTTGTCGGATGCACATTTCGCCAAGAAGAGCACCAAAGCTGTAGACATCAACCTAACGACAATAAAACATAATTTGAGGACGTCAATATTGTTAAAAAGAAATGTACTTTATTTGAGTGTCAAGGTATTTAGCACGAAAGTAGTTATTCGGGACAATATTCTCAGTTACTGTAAGACTCTGAGTATTGGTCCGACCCCGGGAATCGAACCCGCGACCTTCCGCTGGGCAGTCAAGCGCTCTACCGACTGAGCTAATCCTGCCGCGGTTGGTAAACATCTATCGAGGTTTGGTTTTTATTACATGCGTCGTAGACGTAATCTAATCCCGGTTATTAATGTCTGCGAAGCAGCGCCGATAGGCCTTGTTCTGGCCCCTATGGACTCAACGAATTACTGGAAGTTTAAAGTTTGAAGTTTGAAGTATTGCATGGTCCATAATTGATCTAATACAACTAGAGTAGAAGAGCCCTAAATTAGTGCGAGTAACCTTAGCTCTCTTAAGTTGTACCAACAAATATATTCTCTTAGAGGCCTTCTTAAGAATTTCATTAATATGGATATTCCAGGTGTTTCGAATTTCCTTACAAAATGGTTGGTAAATTGGCTATGGCTCGTTTAACAGGCCAATCATGGCGCGTACTAAAATTCTGGTACACAGGTGGAGGCCTAGAACAAAGAATTTGGGCGCTGTTTCGCAGACGTTACTTACCGGGGTTTGATTACGTTACGTCTGCGGCCCAGGCTAGATTTTCATTGCAGGGACATTATTCGGGGCAGTTGTTCACCCCAGCTGAACTGAGTCCGCTGAGACCCAAACCGGAAAATTACAGTTGCCGATAATCACTGAGGTCCATTTAGAGGTACAAAAAAGCTCTTTAATATGAGAATCTATGAGCGGAATTTAGAGCAAAAATAGCGATTATACGGGGACTGTAGGCAGACAGAAAAAACCCTTTTCGAATAACATTTTTCCAACCTTTATCAAGAAGGATTTTATGCCTGTATACACCAATGCATTCCCAAGGGGACAACTTTTAGGCGTTTCGTTATTTATATAATCTACATTTTGTAGTGACTAAGGGCCTGTTTACATGGAGTGGGGGACCCCGGTCTAGTGGGGTTGGCTTCTTTTGTTTTCACGCTCTGGGGCACACAAAACAAAAGAAACCTACCCCATTAGACCGGGGCTCCCCACTCCATGTAAACAGGCCCTTAATGTCTTAAAGCTGCACCAGAACCAATTCACTAATGAGATTGTCTAAATGAGGTTGACTGATAACTTACAAGGGTAGGGAGGGGGGGAGAATTCGAGCACGCGAAAATGCGGTCAGAGCCCGAGGGAGCTCTTAGAAGGGATGATTGAAATTCCGCAGTTAAAGAGCACAATTAAGACCAGATTTAGGTGCACAACGATGGGCTTGGTTAATTTTAAACAATGAGCTAAATATGCGTGCAGTAGCGAAATCACTGACAAAAATGACAGATACTTGACTAATTTTCAACAAATATACATGTATCTTAATATATAGATTTACCCAGCACTAAGAGCGAAGCTCTCGATGATAATATTTATAGTTTGTTCAAACAAAATATAAAATCTGGTGATGCTAAGCGGCGAAGACAACGCCGGAGAACGGTGAAAGACAACAATAGGTCTAATTAGCAAAAAAGCAACTTTGCACGTACAGCACACTTTTTTGTACATTTCTTTGCAGTTGTTTTGCACAACTACAACGTGAAACTTACTGAAACCTCTTAGTCACACGTTTTATTGAGGAAATGTCATACGTTTTCTCGTTCACTTTTTTTCTCACTGCCGCTCATTTTCATCTTGCATTGGTGACCGCTGGCATTTCTCATTTTGTCACCGCCGCTTTCGTTGGAAGAAAATTCCAACAAAAAAATGTCTTTTTCATGTGTTTTTCATCTCTCGGTCTAGATCTCTGTCGCCGTATTTCTCCTTGAGCTTCGCTGGCCTGCCGCCTACTTTCTCTTTTTCTCTGTCTTTCTCTTGCTCTATATTCCAAATTTGTGGACATGACAGTTATTCTGAGCTTAATACTTTAGAAAATACGGATACAGAGACAATTTCCCCTTTTCGACTCTTTAGTTGTCTCTGCTTCACAAGACGCGGGTGGCTATGCGAGTTGCATTTGGGTTGCCATACCTGTTTATTGAGTTATTTTACATTGGTATGCCTGTGGTGCGGACGGACGGTCGTTCGGTCGGTCGGTGTACGATCACGTGATTACCAAATTCTCTTGGATGGGTAGTTTACCAAATTTTCTTACCCATGGTGCTCCGCTGCGCGCGATTCGTGCGCGAGAGCACCGCTATGATCAATTTTGATCATTTGTGTGCAGCTTTCTTTTTATCCCAGCTGCATGTGTTTGACAATTTCACACTTGACCTTACAAGCGAATGACCATATTGAGTATATTGAGGTTTCTCGGTCTTTGTGCGGCTTTGAATTGCATGGTGAGATATCAATGACAGTGGTCTTAAAGCTGCTTATAGTCACTTCGCGTCAGTCAGTAGAAATAGATCCTGACACTCGGTTATTCACGATACGATCATGATTGTGTTACTAAGGCACCAAGTAAGAGCATAAGAATGTTAGCCGGGCTGATCAAATTCAGTTCGTAGGAAACGAGTTAAAAGTTGTTTCTTTAGATCAACTGTACTAACGTCAAGTAGTCTCCCCAAAGAAAAAATAGCTAAGTTGCCACGCGTGCAAAATGCTGCCACTAGATTATTAATGGTTTTAGAAAGTATTCTCACATCATTCTAGTACTTTATGAGTTACACTGGCTACCGGTGCAAACGCGCATACATTCCAAGATTCTATTGTTAATTTTGAAAGCCATTCACGGCCTCGCACCTGCACATATCAGCAATATTTTCCCTGTGAATTATAGGTTCTTGTATAATCTTAGTTCCACCTCAGGCATTTTATTAAAAGTAGGATGATGGAAATACTGGGGGGCGCGCAATTTAGGAAGCAGGGCCGCATTTGTGGAACAAGTGTGGATTGTGAATATTACAAATGAGAATGACTACCCGCAGGTAGCTTTAGCTAATAGACTGAGGAGGGTGGGGAGAATCCTATTATAACTGCTCACTATTGAATTTGTAGAAATTTTCAAAAATTCAATCAAAGCATTTCTCTTTGGCAATTTTGAGGTGGTGGTTAAATCCATGATGAACTTTATATAGCTCTTAAGGTTCGCATTATATCATATTATTTATTTTCTTAGGAGTCATACATATTGAAATTGGTTGAAAAACAAGGGTCGATTTTACTGCACGAAATGTTGCTAATTAGGGAACTGACGATGCCTCTTACTGTCCAGTTGGACTCAATTCGAGCCAAAATATTTGCGTCAAATTGATTAATTTTACTCGTTGATCTTCAGCCAACTTCATGGTAGTTTATAGTAAAAATTTAATGGCTTCATGACGACGCCAAAACGTCAAATGATTTCATCTTCATTGCTTTTTGTCTCTTTACGTATTAGAAAACCCTTGCTAATAATATTTTGATAGGAAATTTTGGCCAATTTCGTATGTAATACAGTCTTTCCTAATAAATTAACTTTAAGCAGAAGCATCCGCTAGCCATTCTGTCAATTATATCAAGGAATATGCTCAGAGGGGCGGAGTTCCCCTTAAATGGTAACATCTGAAAATTTGGTTCCTGGAGAGAGGCCATAATCCAGAGGGGCCAATTATAGCAAGTTGCTTCCTTTAAAACAGTCTGTAAAGCAAGAAATTCTTCTAACAACGGGCAGGTAAGTTTTAAGGTGTTTTAAGTATAAAATTCATGGCCACGGGATCGGTCACTTGAATGAATAATATGCTGTTTTAGACAATGAACAAGTGGTTAGGAAAAAGAAGACTTAATTTTGAAAAATTTACCACTTTACCATAGTTAAGAAATTTTAAAAGGAAAAAAGAATCATAATAATTATGATAGTAGTGATATAGGGTTATTTTACTCTTGTTTGGTACCTTCCCCTGCCTTCCGTATGCCTTCCCTTTATTAATATGTGTAAGTGTCGTCCTGCATACAAATTTAGTTCCTTCCTGTATATTAATTATGTGCCTAAAAATGTGTTCCTCCAAACTAATTAAGTGCCTACTTCCATTTGTAATGAGCGTTTCTCTACTACAATAGGCACAATAGGCTTGCCCGGTCCTTTTTAACCCTGATGGACTCTTGTAGGACATATGATTTGTTCAAAATAAAAGCGGGTAGATTTCGAAAGCGCTATCGTTCTTGCAATGGCTTTGTTAGGAGCAATTTGTTCGAGTTCGTGTGTTTGAGAAAACATTTATTAACTTTTTATCACCATGGCCTTTATTACAAACGTTGATGAGCTTCAAGCTCTTTTGGACGCTTGTTCCTAGACCCTAGAATGGGAACTTTTGATCCAGTCTATTTTAATTCCCGCTGAGTAGATCCCAATGACGTATGCTCGGCTATTGGAACTAACAGGCGGAGAGATTACTTAGCAACTCGAGAAACAGCTTACTATATCTTTTTTAGCGCTCAAAATCGGATAGATAAACAAACCACATACGCAAAGTGGAGCTGAAAACTCTCTATTTCAATTTAGCTTATGTCTTCTTATTATTTAGCGCTAAAACTTAGATATATAAACAAAACATTCACACATACACAAAGTGGAGCCTAAAACTCTCCATTTCATTTCTGTCTGACTATTACAAAACCGCTTTCTGCTTTCTTTCTCGAGGAAATGAAAACTATTAAAGTCTAAGCGTTTCACGTGCCAGTAGTCAGTTAATTATGCGAGTTAACAAGCCCACCGTTACATACAAATTAGTTCAGCTCTGCAGTAAAAAACCCCAGAGACTGAGAGCTTTGACGTATTATTATAAAAACCAATAACTTAGCAAGGATCAATCGTTAATGTTGAGAACTGATGACTTTGACTTTTAAATGGACCCACGTTTCACCTGAGGTGTCTTTTCAGAGGCATTAATCACAGGTAGCCCAAGCTCGAAATATAAGCATCGGTGAGCATCGGCATTGTTGCGTAACATTCAAAATATAAGGATTTGTATGGGGAAAAAACCTATCGTTTCCGTAACCTACGAAAGTGAAAGGATTTCAATAAAAAACAGCTTACCTTACTTAAAATGTGTGTTACGTCTCTCCTGTGTGGTCCACCGGCCGATTTATGGAGAGACGTAACACACTTTTTATAAAGCTAATTGAAAGGATTTTTCATGGTGCTATTCTGATCCTTTCAAATGTACTATATATTCTATTTCGATAAAAAGTTTATCCTTTTTATCATCATTCTCAGCTCGGTAATAAAAGTGGCCCAGTTTCTGTCCTCCCAAAACCGGTTTGTCCTGAAAAACCGGTATTGACCCTCCCATATGCTGAGAGGGCGCCATTTTGAATAAATCTCGCTCAGTTATCTGACCTACACTACTGCCGTATGGGGCAAGGCCAGCAAGTAAGCTCTCATGCTGGGGCTTATGGTAGACTCACTGGAACAGTCTGCTCGAGTAATATATAAGTAATATTTTAAGATCACTAGAAAATTAAAAATTAAGAAGTCGTGAAGCTCAGTTATGCGGTTTATCTTTTCTTTTAGTCGAGTAGTGAACGGCCAAAACATTCCGCTTTTCCTTTAAGTGATTGAGTGAGGTGATAGCATCGTCGGAAATCTAGCAGATTCCAGGCCGCTGAAATTTGATTTTCTTGAAGAAGCAAATTATGGTCCAAATGATGTTTGGCGATCGATCGACTCGGGTGAATTAAGGAGTAGGTCTCTAGAAATTTGTGAGGGGGTGGTCTACTTTAAAGGAGATTTAACTTTTCGACTTGAAATTTTGCATGCGGTAAATACTTTTTAAAAATGTTCTTATCCGTTGTCACTAATAAGCTATCTTAGTCATGTGACTTGTCACGCCCATTTTTTACCATTTAGTTTGGTCCAATTTTACAACATTTTACAAATACTAGTTGTTATTTATTTTGTGTTCTTTCAATGACTATTAACACAAGGTTTATGGATATATCCGGGGTTTTTAGAAATTATTTGTTTTGAGTGAACTATAACGTCTCCAGTTGAGAGTGGGACTGGGTCGAGGAGAAAACATTTGATAATTACAGGGCAATAAAATATTTTGCAATTCCCCGTTTAATTTCACTCATTTGACTTTAGACTTAACACTATGGAAAAATAAACGGAAGCTTCAACAGTCATTTTTATGGCGTAATCTGAAAATATTTATTTTTGCATAATTATGGGCGTGGCTGCTCACGTGACCTTAAGTGGCACAGTGTGAGCTCCAAAAATTGTTCCAATATTAAGCATATGTGTTTAAGTAATGACATGAAAAGAGATGGCAGACAAAGAAAGAAAAAATGAAAGAAGCCCAAAATAGAGCGAGGAGCCATGCCTTAGTTGTGTCTGCCACTGATTTTAGCTTCTGGAGACATTTCGAGGCCGTTTTGGAGTTGTACCTACTCTCCTGCTGATCAATAATAATAATAATAATAATAATAATAATAATAATAATAATAATTGTAATCATAATAATAATAATTATTATTATTATGTCTTTCTTTTTTCGATACAATACATATCAAACGGTACACAAATTTTAAAAAGGATTAAATAAGGAGCTTACAGTAAGAATTTCTCATAGTGTTCAACTGTATTTGAAACTAAGCCTATTTAAAAAGCTACTTTTAAAACGTTCAGTGTTTATCCTAGGTAACTGACTACTAGATCTTTGTTTTAATCTAAGGGAGGACCCTTTGGCTTGGGGCAACATAGGGTACAATGGGTGAGAACTGTCGCTCGTAATTTTCTTGAAGAGTTTCCTATCACATTTGTCCAAGAGCTAGCTAAGAGCTCGTGGATATTATAAATTTCTGAGGATTAGCGCCTCTTGAAACATCTTTTCAGGAAGCATGCATTGTACTGTATTTAAATCCGCTTGGCATGAGCCATAAACAGGGAGACCATACACTTTTCTAGGAAGAACGAGCCTTTAAAAAGATGATCGATTTCGTCTTGGCTATTTCCTAAGTTCTCTTATTACGTAAACACATTTGTTCGTTTCATTTAGTTACGCTTAACAAATGCTTAGCAAATATATCAATCTAAATCCTAAACCAACCACCTCCACTTTAAAATACTTGGTTGTTTTACTCTCAATTTGACCCTGTTTTCGAAGCACGGTATGTTTACTGTATTTCTTTGCTTTTTAATATAATTGTTGTTGTTGTACTCAGAGTCTCAGCCCGCTTGTTATGTCCAATTCGTGTTCCGCAGTCCGCAGTCCAAGTTTATATTAGTCAAAAATATATTTGTTATATCTGTTAAACCCACTTTAAGATAATGCATTAGACTGCTGGTTCGCCATTTGGCTCCCACTGAACCTTAACATCGTCCAAATGAAAACTTGTTGCTCAGACCCTGTGTTCAGGAAATGACAATATCTTGATCTTATTTCGTTTTTCTACACGTAAACAATAAAAACGAAACATTTCTTAACTTTAATGTACTTGATATTAAACTTACTATTACATGAAAGAACATCATCGCAGTTATAAAAGACGAAAGCCTGAAAAAATTCAGGCTTGTACGGGATTCGAAGGCTTGACCTCTGCGATACCGGTGCAGCGCTCTACCAATTGAGCTAACAAGCCAGCTGGGAGCAGGTCGTTCAATTGGTTGGTATTAAACCCGTTGAAAGAAGATAATGATGATCATCATATTCCTTTCAAGGTTTAATACCAACCAATTCACCAGGTTTAATACGAACCAATTCAACGACCTGCTCCCAATTGTCTCGTTAGCTCAATTGGTAGAGCGCTGCATCGGTATCGCAGAGGTCAAGGGTTCGAATCCCGTACAAGCCTGAATTTTTTCAGACTTTCTTTTCACAACCACAAAAGTTGCGTCTATAACTGCGGTGATTTTCTTTAATATAATTCTTGTTCTCATATATGATTATCATATATACATAACTTCATTAAACCTATTATTATTGTAACTTAAGCATGTAACAAATTTCTATATATTATTTGAGCTTAAACTTGAATCTTTCATGACTTAATTACTTTGAAAATGAAATTTGTTCCACAACAACATGAACAAAAACAATAATCCAAGTAAGTTAATTTTAAAGTAGAAATTAAGTAAAATTATTTTCACGCCTCTTTTGGCCAAGTCTTATTTTCTAACAAACTACACGTGCTTTAAGTCTTGTTATTTACGTTAGCGCAAATTCTAGGATGAGTGGGCCTCCACCTCATGGACCGCCACCCCATGGACCCCCACACCATGGACCTCCACACCATGGGCCTCCACCGCATGGGCCTCCACCGCATGGGCCTCCACACCATCCACCACACCATGGTTCCCCACACCATGGACCTCCACATCATGGGCCTCCACCGCATGGGCCTCCACACCATCCACCACACCAAGGGCCTCATCCCCATGGAGATCACCACCCTCCACCACCTTAAGGACAAACCCTTCCCAGGTAAGTTGGAAATGTTGTTTAATATATATATAATATTATTGTTATTTGTGAATGCCATTTCCTGAGGACGGTTATGCAATACTGGTAACATTCATCATTTGGAACACTTGGATTCGGGTAGCTTGTGTTAATGATATAATTCAATGTTAGTACAAGGCTTAAATTTCGTCAGTAACACAGGTTTAAAATTGCTAAAAGGTTTACATCGTAATGATAGTCTTTGGTTTGCATAGTTATCTCAACGAACATTTCAAATGTCACTCTTGTAGGTTAGGAACTATAGCAATACCCTGATTTCACGTCCATAATTTTTCATCATTTGCAAATGTTTTCAAGTACTATATCCGGTTGGAAAGTAAACGGAAAACGGGTGATGTCAGTGAAACGTTTTTGAAACAAAAGGAACTACTGTGTAGCGGTCGGGTCCCCTGTTTTGTTTTTTCCTCCCTTGTGTTATCAGACCTTGTCTTTCGCCCTTCTTGTTATGCTAGCTTTTGGCAAGTGTTTGCACGGCTTAGGAAAAAAAAACCCGACATTTCGCGACGCCACCATTGATACCAGTTTCAGGATAGTTTGTAGCTGATTTTCCATAAATCGGACTGATTTGTACAAATGCTAAACGCGTTTGCCAAACCGTTGAAAGTTACTAGTCCTAGTCGAGCTTAGGTAACGACAAAGGTGACATTCCGTACATCAAAAGTAACAACCATAAGTCTTTCTTTTTTTTTTAATTGTTTGACTCGATAACGTCATACTACAGTAATTAAAACAAAAACTTTCAAACTTTTTATGTCATGTAGAAGTGTTTCATAGAGCGAACTGAAGACAAACAACTGGTTGTCATTCATGACGCCCGCGACGTAAGAGTTGCTTAGACTCCCTAATTTTACAATTTTCCCAAATCGTGAACCGACTAGTTTGCGCGTATAACCTTGAGGAAGTAATAACTGTCACTTGCTAAGTTAAATTATTGTCTTTTTTTCTTCTATTTTTGTTTCAGATATGAATATTTCTGGAAGTAGCAGCAGAAGCATCAGTGATTAGTGCTTTTAGTAAAAGTGGATAGAAATCGCGCGTCATATTGTTATTCACTACTTTAGTTTTTATGACAGCCTTGATGATTAAGAACTATAAGAACTATAACAAGAGTAGTGGTGCTCAATAATGACCTGAAAGATACTTTTGCTTTTTGTTAAACTTCAACAATGATTGCGTCATGGCGTTGTGCGATAGCTCTTTATTACCTACAAGTGATTCAAACTGGTGCAGAGTTTCTGGCCTTTAGCATATGAACTTGTCAATTGATATCATAAATAATGCTAATGGTTATAGTTAATATAAACTAAACAACAATGCTTATCGCCTGCTGTACCGCTATTGCATATTTCAAGGCTTGTCTTACTATTTTCAAGATGTTTGCTTTGTTACAACCGGCTGTATGCAATACCCTTTAAGAATGCAACTTTGTGAAAACCTTCTTAAAAATGTATTTGATGTGGCTGCCTCCACTTTATCAGTAATACAGTAAGGATTGCCTCTTTTACCGGATTTTTTTTAACGTCTAAAATAATTGCATTTGTTTGTATTTATTTCTAGCGAAGGGAGGGACGGCTGGCATTAGTTTCTTTCTCGGTCATGCGTTCTACGCAGCTTTTGGTCATGTGCTTGTACAGATCGTAGCTTCGCTGAACACACGTTTATTTCCCAGAATTGTTTCTTATGGTGTGTCGATGTCGTTGTTTACACTATGGTGACTAGAAGGAGCAGCAGGAGAACGTAGCTGTAGTGTCTTACGGATTTAACCACCAACACACACACCATTGCTGCTCGTGCACACCTGTGTATTCAATCATCATAACAGTCAGAGCGCATGCTCGATAATACAAACATAGGGGTGGGGACGGAAGACCTAAATACTTACATATACTTCATTCCTCCCTTCTTCGAATTACTTGTTGGGTTAAAAGAAAACGAAAAGAAAAGAAAACCTAGCTAACAATGTACATAAATGTCTCTGAATTTCCTATAGATATCCTAACCTTCTCTTATTTATCAGCTGCCTGCGTACTGAAGAAATCCTACGAATCCGAGCAATAACTGAACTATACGGCTTCATAGATATCTCTCCTAGTTCCTCTCTACCCATCAGATTGTGTAATATGCACCAGAGAGATCAGGTGGATGTTCACTAAAACCTTGTTATTTAAAGTACAATTTGAAAAGAAATAATTCAATAGTTCTGCAACCTCTTGCTGATATCTAATGACTCTACTACCTTCCTTCAGATAGCCCGTTCCAGGAGTTCAGATAATGTAGTGCGGTGCGAACCTTTTTGCGCCGTACGCACAATCTGAACGCCTGGCACCGGGCTATACTTCAGAACAATTCTGTGATTACCGACATTCTTGCGAGAATTTATGAAAGTTTTTATAGTCTTTATACCTTTATGTTTTTGTTTGTTATGGCTGGATCGTATCAGCTCTGCTCTAATTTTTTTGCTATTGTGTATAATTAAATTCATTATGGTTCTGCTCCGACCGATAAATGTTTAAGTCTGTTTTATTAACCAATCTTGACTGGTCAAGACTGCTGCATATAGGTCATGTTTGTCGTCGTGTTTTTATGGAGCGAGATAAAGTCGATATTTATAAAAACGCAAAAAGAACTGGGCCCATATCAGCGGCGGATCCAGGAAAGGGGCCCGGGAGGCCCCCCCCCATCCCGCGCCCCTTATGTTTAGAGCAAAATGAGGCCCGAACGGCCGGAAAATTTGTTTTTGGAACCCCCCCCCGCTCCCTTATCTGAAGATCTTGATCTGCCACTGCATATCCTGCCATCTTGACCGAACAAGCTTGGTCAATAAACGATTTATTACATGGCCAAAAAGAAACGGTTGTAGGAGAACGTCCGGTCGGGAAAGACAAGTCCAATAAGAACACAGGATTTGCCTTACCTTGCCCGCTGGCAGAGTCAGCCATATACAACTAATTTGATCATTTGATCATTTGTCTGATCATTTCATGTGTCAGACAAGCAACCTGTTAAATTTTTAAAATATATAGAATTAGCCAGGACTAAGAGCGAAGCTCTCGATCATATTTATAGTTTGTTTAAACAAAATATAAAATCTGGTAATGTTAGCGGCGAAGGCAACGCCGGAGAACGGTTAAAGACAACAATAGGTCTAATTACCAAAAAAGCAACTTTGCACGCGCAGCAGACTTTTTTTCTACGACCACAACGTGAAACTTGCTGAAACTTCTTAGTCACACGTTTCATTGAGGAAATGTCGTACGTTTTCTCGTTCACTTTTTTCTTCCTGCCGCTCATTTTCAACTTGCATTGGTGACCGCTGGCATTTCTCATTGTCACCGCCGCTTTTGTTGGAAGAAAATTCCAACAAAAAAATGTCTCCTTTGTTTTTTATCTCTCGCTCTAGATCTCTGTTGCCCTATTTCTCGTTGAGCTTCGCTGGCCTGTGCCCTACTTTCTCTTTTTCTCTGTCTTTCTCTTGCTCTATATTCCAAATTTGTGGTCATGACAATTATTCTGAGCTTAATACTTTAGAAAATACGGATACAGAGACAATTTCCGCTTTTCGACTCCTTAGTTGTCTCTGCTTTACAAGGACGCGGGGCTATGCGATTTCCCGTCAAAATAACCTCGAGTTGTATTTGGGTTGCCACACCTGTTTATTGAGTCATTTTACATTGGTATGCCTGCGGTACGGGCGGACGGTCGGTGTACGGTCACGTGATTACCAAATTTTCTCGGATGGGTAGTTTACCACATTTTCTTATCCATGGTGCTCCGCTACACGCGCGCCTCGCGCGCGAGAGCTCCGCTATAAAACGAGAAATTGAACAGGACACTTTGTAATAAAATTGTCCGTTACATAACTCAAGAGGCTAAACAGACACAGTTTTCTACTCCGCTTGAAAAAAAAAACTAACAACAAAACATAACTTTACACAGTGCCATTAAAGCCAAAAAACTCACGCGGCTGCTTCTTCCGTAAGCCCCGACGATAACAATGGAAAGAGAAAACCACGACCGATATACGATGTATGGAAAGAAGTTTGGGTAAGGGCCACTTATTAAATAATTATGCCAATGTTAACAGTCTTGAACAGTGACTAAAACTGACCTTGACAGTTTGGTTTGATTTAAGTGCTTCAGGTGCGCTGTAAATCCTTTCTCCAGGAGCCACTGTCATGGTCTGCTGCATGAAATTAGCAGTGCCATAGTCTGACACTTTGCCTCTCCATTGGTCATCCTGTCGCCATAGCAACACATTCGCACTGCTGATGTCACGATGAATGATAGGCTCTGGTTTCTTCTGATGAAGGTAGTTTAGAGCAAGTGCTACATCCAGAGAAATGACGGCTATTTCTGTCTCGGAGAGTTGCCGCTGGTCCAACAAAGTGCGCAGACTTTTCTCCATCAGCTCGGTCGCAAACAGAGGGTTTCCGTCATCATTGGTGGCGCCGATAAACTGTAGTTAGTGAGGATGGCGGCATTTAGAAGCGATATTCATTTCTCTTTCAAACAGATTTATGTTATGAGGAGAAAGAATCGACTCATGGATTTGTTTTACTGCGTACGTTCCCTCATTGACAATTCCCCATCCTCCCCTCACAAGGCATTTCTCAGTGATTTTAATTTCGTCCCGGAGAATAACCCAGTCACGTGCTTCTTGGCTGTGCAATTCACTTATTGTTTGCTGAGTTGTTGAAAGACTTAACTGTGGTTCAGAAACTTGTCCTCGGCAATTTCTCAACTGCTGTCTTGTCTCCCTTAATTGCCTCTGTGAATTTTCTTCACGTTGCTGAAACTCCGTTAGCTGCCTTTGAGAGCTTTGTCCCCGTTACTGAAGTTCTCATCTCTGATTTGCCGCTACAAATTTTGTTCACGCTGCCGCGACTCCGTCAGCTGCCTTTGAGGGCTTTGTTCCCGTTCCTGAAGCTCTCTGAACTGTCTTTGTAAATTCTCTTCGCGTTGCTGCTCATCTCTTAACTGCCTCTGGAAATTTTCTTCACGTGGTTGAAAATCGCTCAACTGTCTTTCTAATTCAGAGGTCCGCCTTGTCGAGTTTGCTTCGCGTAGGTCTTGCATCTTTTCTGAAAAGATAATTCAAAAACGATACAAAGCAATCAAAATCACTTGAGTACCATGGGCAAACAGACTACGTTTTACCAGGAGCATATGATTTCAGTTTACCTAAAACAAAAAACAATTAAAAACTTTGTTTTTAAAGAAAATGCACTGCATTTCTTCCCTTGAAACTGAGTGACAACTGTGCATAAACGAAATATTGATGAATAAAATGAAATTTAGAATGGTTCCTTTCGCCCAATTGTCACTTAACATTGCTTGTTTGTAAAACGTCTTCAGCTTGCAAAGTTGAGTTCCAACCCTATGGGAGCTGATTTTTGTTCCTCCCCCACTTTTTTTGTTATTTTCCAATGTTAGACAGTAAGTCGTTAGTCGGGAAGGTGCGAAAAGACGAAGATTATGGCGCCAATTAACGCGAAATTTGAAAATATCTGAAGAAAAATGTAACATGAACTCGTAATGTAAAAACCTTTAATGCAAAATGCAAAACAGTTTTAACACAAAATGTAACAAGTTTTGAACGCAAATTGTAACAACGTTCTGATTAATTGTATTATCAACTTCGTCCTTATTGTTTTTTTTATTAATTTCAATATTTCAAATAAATTATTGCTGTGGTTGTTTTAAGAATGCAGATCGTTTTTCCAAGAAAGACAATGAACTGCAATGGGCAGCTTGTGTGAGCCAGTCTGTACAAGAGACTGGTCGTGTAAAAGACCCGGGGAGGGGGGTACTCCCTATAATGGCCTGTACGGGGAGGCTCCGTCCAAAAGGGGAACCTTTTTCAGGCTTCAGGTATAGATCGTTTTCAGTCACGTGGTCAGCAGCTTTGCAAATTCCTTGGAATAGAAGAAAATTTTAACATGTGAAAAGGGTACAATTCCCACAGGGTTTTTTTGCACACAAACATGGCCGCCGATTCATTGTTTTGTACACCAATATGGCAGCCGTGACGTCATGTGAAAACTATCTTTATGAAGGGTTAGGGAATTTACTCGTTGAAGTATACGAAAGGGTAGGAAAATCTGTGATTTAGGTCTGTGAAAGGGTCCAACGGGCTTTATAAAGTCGAGATAACGTTCTGTTTTGTGATTAATTCCTATTTAAACGACAGTGCATTTACAGCAGTTAAAATGGATGCAATGTTCTAAAAAAGAAATAGAAAGTATGCCAAAGGGGTACCTTTTTCGTGAAAAATGGTATATAAAGGGCAAGGGGTTGGATCTCGAGACGGAGCCTCCCCGCATAAAAATTTGTTGAGTACCCGCCCCCCATCCTATGAGCTAAAAGACGCCTCAAACGTCAAGTCATATCTATGCTGACCATTTATTTCATCGATATCGGTATGAATTGTCATATCCTTTGTGTTGTGAGTGGAGGATTAAAGGGGGAGACTGTTAGACTGCTTGCAGCATGTATAGTTTTAAACAATGTAAATTATGAAGGAATTATTGCTGAATGCCCCCAATAGAGATAGGTACTAGGGGTGGTCATTACCTGCGATCAGGCAATCAGAAAAAGGGAAGAACGACCGCCTGATGGCAGGTTAGGGTGATCACTGTCAAAGGTTCGTCACACCCCTGGTACTTCTCTTACGTCCCACAGAGTCGAATTATGTGAAAGTGCTGTGAGACGGGACCTTTCACCCCTTATCTAGAGGGTCTCAATGGTGTTTGTCATCAACCGTCAGAAGATTAGGGAAGTTAAGAAAGAGACGTTAAACCGGCGACGGCGACCGGACTGGCAGAGAAAGCCTGGAACTAAGGCAGCCGTCTCTTGTCGTCCCATTACATAAGATTGAAGTGAACTCAGAAGGACGGCGCCTGAGCAGCTAGAACACCGAAGAGGAAAATATGGCTTCGCATAAAGAATTAAGAGAATTAATATTTGCTGTGCAGACAACATGTATCGGATGAAGAGTTTCTCGTTTTGTGGGAAAATCATGAGTCAAAAATCCAGATTTTCTTTGGGACAGTTACGATCCGTTCACGCTCGTAAAAATGCGGGATGAAGCTGAGTGCAAGGCAGAATTTCGGAATTTCGCGTTGAAAAACAAATGATTTCCACAGGCGAAGCCTTGCATATTCCAGGAACATTAAAATGATACCAAGGAACCGTATTCTTAGTTTGGTATTGAAATAATTCCCAGCAAATACTTGCATGCAACAACAACAAAGACAACAACAACTTTATTTCAGTATTCCCACGTTAGTACATGGTTTTACCTGCTATTCTATATAATTTTCAATGCGTTTCATTTGTACAATACTCTAAGGACAAGAGTGAACTAAAAACACAATTAAAATATAGGAGTTCATATTTTTTGTCTGGATACTTTTTATTTGGCCCGTAGGACAATTTTGTCGATGTAAAGCGAGTGTAGCTAAATGTCGTGGGTCGTGGGTTGTGGGTAGATGTCGTGGGTCGTGGGTGTGGTGTGGGTAAATGTCGTGGGTGAAAAATAGTCTTCCAAAAAAAATAATAAAAATTACAAAATTAAAAAGCAAAAAGTTATAAAATTCATGAAACGAAAATCTCCGAGTACAAACCAGTCCTATTCCCCTTCGCCGCGGTCAGCAAAACAAATGAGCGAATCTTCCAGTACAAACGGGCTTTAAAAAGGGATTTAGGTGAAAAATAAAAGAAACTCTGTACACTATGTAGACCTGGAGCAGGCTAGAGAAAAACTGGAAACTGAACTGCTTTTTCTCACAGATGTCAACATTCGTGACTGAAACGTCCTGTCAGTTTAAGGAATGATATTGCGAATCGTTACAGCAAAGATTTTGTACACAAAACAAAACAAAAAAAAAACGCGAAAGTTGTATTTCCGTACGGCAATAAAATTTTCATACAGTCTAGCCGCTTAACTTGAAATGTTGAGAATGAAGGTGTTTCCTTCGTAAGGTAAGAGACCTAAAACTTCTTTAAGGGACCGACCATTAAAAAAGTTATGGGGGAGGGGAATTTTCGAACAGCGGGAATTTTTTTTTTTCGTTATCAAATTCCTTGTATGAATTTGTTTTAGGCCATAGCATGTATATTTTTTTAGTATTAATTGCGCGCCTGAATTTTTTTCGTTTAATTTTCCCTTGCGCGAATATTTTTTTGTACTTCGCCCGCCCCCACCACAATTTTTCTAATGGTCCGTCCCTAAGGAGTGTAGCTAAATGTCGTGGGTCGTGGGTAGTGGGTAGAGGTGGTGGGTCGTGGGTGTGGGTAAATGTCGTGGGTAAAAAAATGTCTTCCAAAAAAATTAAAATTAAAAAATTAAAAAGCAAAAAGTTGTACAATTCATGAAACGAAAATCTCCGAGTACAAACCAATCCTATTCCCCTTCCCAAAAAAAAAAACTGCAGACTGAATTGCTCTTCTCAAAGATGTCAACATTCGTGACTGAAAAGTCCTTTCAGTTTAAGGAATGATTTTTCGAATCGTTACAGCAAAGATTTTGTACACAAAACAAAAAAAGAATCTCGACAATTTTATTTCCGTACGGCAATAAAATTTACATACAGTCTCGCCTTAACTCGAAATGTTGGGAATGAAGGTGTTTCCTTCGTAGGGTAAGAGACCTAAAACATCTTTAAGAAAGAATTCTATCCAAAAATATGAATTACCTCAAAATTGCCCTTTTTCCCTCCCCTTTCTCACGGTGATCGCATTCCATCGTGTTAAAAAATCTCCGCTGATCATTGGAATTGTAGATCGAATAAAGATGAATAGTGAGCAGCCATTTCCATTTAGCGAGTCAGAGCTGTCCCAAATCATTCCTTAAACTGAAAGGACTTTTCAGTCACGAATGTTGACATCTTTGAGAATGAGCAGTTCAGTCTCCAGTTTTTCTCTAGCCTGCTCCAGGTCTACATAGTGTACAGAGTTTCTTTTATTTTTCACCCAAATGCCTTTTTAGTGCCCGTTTGTACTAGAGGATTCGCTTATTTGTTTTGCTGACCGAGGGCAAGGGGAATAGGACTGGTTTGTACTCGGAGATTTTCGTTTCATGAATTTTACAACTTTTTGCTTTTTAATTTATTAATTTTTATTTTTTTGGACGACATTTTTTTACCCACGGCATTTACCCACACCCACGACCCACGACCCACTACCCACGACCCACGACCCACACCCACGACCCACGACCTCTACCCACCACCCACGACCCACGACATTTAGCTACACTCTCCCTAAGAAAGACTTCTATCCAGAAATATGAATTACCTCAAAATTGTCCTTTTCCCCTCCCCTTTCTCACGGTGATCGCATTCCATCGTGCTAAAAAAATCTCCGCTGATCACTGGAATTGTAGATCGAGTAAAGATTAATAGTGAGCACCATACTTTCTGCCAGTTGCAGGTATAATTTACGTCTGTTTCGTTTACTTCGTGGCGATAGCTGAGGTATGGATAATCTTTATCGGCAACATGTCTTTTATACAGTTATGTTGTGAAAGGGGCCAAGTCCCACGTAGCTAAGGAAATATCAGGAAGAGGCCGAAGAAGAGGCCGTGACGAAAAAGGCAATCAAGGAGTTGGATATTTTCGTTTCATAAATATTTTACAACTTGTTTCTATTTATTTTTTTTCAATTATTTTACTTTATCATTTTTTTCTATACCCACGACATTTCCTTTCACCCACACCCACGACCCACGACCCACGACCTCTACCCATTACCCACGACCCACGACATTTAGCTTCATTCATGTTAAGCTCACTTACGGTTGGCTGTTTGCCAAGTTGGATCTTGACCCTGTGACATGAAACATAGAAACATTCAAAGATGTAGTAAGTTTAGATGACAGAGCTTGGAAATCGAGCTTGAAATGTGACTCAAAGAAAACAAGGACAATTTACGAACGATAATCTGCAAAATTTTGGTTGCTAAACGCAACAAACCTGGTTGAAATGAAAGTCAAATACTCACGTTTTCGCCACAACGCCAAACAGACCAGTTTCACGCCGCCGACGGGACCACGACAGCAAGGTGGTGAGCAAGAG